CGCTCTCTCTCTCTCTCTCTCTCTCTCTCTCTCTCTCTCTCTCTCCCTCCCTCCCTCCCTCCCTCTCACTTACACACACTCACTCTCTGTCTCTCTCCCAAACGCCAAACCCCACGTCACCCTGCCCCACGCCTAGTAGTAGCCCCAGCCCCATATCTCGGCCTCAGACTCACATCAAAGAGTCCGAGGCCCGGCCTGCCGGCCTGCTGCTTTGAGCTGGAGCCCCTCACGGGTCAGTACGTGGCGGTCCGGCGGCAGCCAGCGGGGTCCCCAGTGCCAAACTGGGCCAGGGAGATCAAGTCGCTTTTAATTTTCACCTCTCGCAACTGATGAGTTCATAAAAAAGGGAGAACGATGGTGATTTTGTATTTAGGGGAGCGACACACACATGCACACACAGCCTCGTGTGTGTGTGTGTGTGTGTGTGTGTGATACAGAGTGTAGAAAAGAGAGATCGCGTGTTTGCACAAGTGATCATGTCTCAAAAGGGAGGGCGCTGCATACCACCCACCAGGCACACACACGCCGCATATGTGCGTACTTCCAAGCATTTGGCATTCACCCCCCCCCTCCTCCTCTCTCTCTCACACACACACAGACCCTGCTAACTGAAGCTAGGCCTCGGGCGCCCCTTCCCTATTCCCCCCTTTCTCCCTACTTTCTCATTTGTGCCCTTCGGCTGTCATCCGTCCTCCCTCGCGCCCCCTGCTTCCTTCCACCAACAAAAATCCATATGGGCTCAGCTAATTTGCTCCCCTCTCGTTTTTGGGGCTTTTTTTTTTCACATTTTCCCCGCTCAGTTTGTAACAGAAAATGGTTCAGCCATGCGTGAATTTTGTCGCCGCAGGGTTTTTAAAACAATTATCTACCTTGCCAAGCCGAGCGCGCAAGCGCAAACTGACGCGATGCGAAATAGTGCCTGTGAACGGCATCGCGCTAAACGGTGGCCATTCTCAACACTGGAAATTCCTCGGGCAACTACTGTCAACAGTGTGAATTCGCCTAAACACGGTTGTAATATTAGGTCATTTTGTTCTTCAGTTCTACGGGGTGAACTAAAATTTTCCTACACGTTAGAGCAAACAACACGCTCGTTCGTCACGTGACTTGCATCCTGCTGCCTTGTTTCTAGCATGTTCCTTGAGCACAGCTCCATGCACATTGTATGTTTTTTTATAACCCCTCCACAAAACGCTAGCATTTTTGACAAGTGACACATGGAAATAAACGCAATTGAGTTTGCAGCGCTGAACGGCTGCAGCGCAACACCTGCCGCTGTGCTGCAGACTCCGCAGACACTCATAGAGATAGCCGTCGAAAATAGACGGCGGGGCCCCGGACAATTGGGATTTATGGTGTGTTAACCAATCCGGCTCGTTTTAGGGGAAGTTCCCTGCTGGCTGGCGCGCGCACTGCTCTCCCCGGAATCAATTCGGTTCGCACTGCGGGGCGTGGCGGGGCGTGGCGGGGGGCGGGACCGACAAAAGCGTTGGCTTGATCACAAGTTATCAGAGACAGATCGGAATGTTTGCAGCAACGAAGCGCTTCCTCATCCCAGCAAATTACACATTTCTTTCTCTAACACGAGCATTACATGCATTCAGTCACTCACCCTTTACTTCTTTGTAAAGTTTTTTACGCATTTCATCCCATTTCAGAAAACAAATTTGCATCTTGTCTGGACGAGCTTCAAAACTTCATTTAACACTTCGGATCCATGCTGACATGCTTACTCTGAAGAACGAACGGTGGTGAGACAGTCTCACTATTTCCCAGGTGCATATCAAGAAAGGGAAAGGGAGGAGTGGGATCACGACTGCCCTCCCCCCCTCCCTCGCTCCTCCACCCCCTTTCGTCTCTGCAGTGAGCCGCCGAAAGATAGGCAATTCGACCGACAAAACCAAGGCAACCAACGACACAACAGACCCAACGGTGCACTTTAGGCATAGTATCTAAGAATTAACTCGCCAACTCGCCTCTTATAAATTTCAACAAGGGATGGGTATAGTTACTTATGCGTCGTTCGTACGGTTGAAAAAGTAATTTCTCATATCGACGCATTAAAAAAGCAATGTCGGTAGAAAGTTCACTACATTTTAGTGTGTCTTTGTGTAATTTTTTCATTTCTACATTTTAATTCATCTTCTTTCTTTCCAACCGATTACGTGGCTGTCGTTCTCTTGCTTGGCAGGCGGTGTGGCGCGACGCGTATTATCGTGCGGTTACTTTTCAACATAAACAGAAAAGTAAAATAATTTTTTAAAACGGGGCAGAGCGTATTTCCTTTGCGCTGCACCGCACAACATTTTGCCGCGAGTCAATCTGTCTGCCTGTCTGTCCACCGACGCCGCCACGCCGCCATTTCGCCGCGAGGGGAAGTCCCAGCGCTGGACGCGAATATTAAAAGAGAGAAGGAGAAACAAAACGAAAGAGAGAGAGAGAGAGAGAGAGAGAGAGAGAGAGAGAGAGAGAGAGAGAGAGACCAGACACACAGAGGCACGGAGGGGGTGGCGGAGTGCGGAAGCAGCAATGCAAGTGCCTCTTTTGATCGTCATTTTAGCAGACTGCAGAGTCAACAGCGCGATATATATATAAAGAAGAAAAATAATACCAACCAGTCTCTCGTATGTGTCGCACGCCACTGAACCGCCACAGCGATTTCTCATCAACGTCATTTCTTTGCTCCAGCCCAGCCGCAGGCGGTCCGAAACCGAACGCTATGCGGACGGGTGGAAATAACTCGCTCGGTCCAGTGACTACTGCCCTGCACCCTGCACGTCCAATAACGCTTTTTGTTGTTTCTGTTTCGTTGGACGCATTGAAACTTTGAAAATATAAGATTAACATTGTTTAAACACGATTTATGTTTTGCAGGACCAGTCCGACTCGCAACAGGGCCGCTGAAGATCGAACTTTGTCGTTAGGAGGCATCGAGATATACCGGAAAACTATAACAGACAATACACCGTTGGAGTCCAGTAAGAGAGTAGGACAACGAATCAACACCGATCAACACCTCTCATGAGTAGAATATCTTCAGTCTTTTTAGTTTATTAATACCAGGTGGCCTGTTAACCCCCTCACTTCTGTAGATATGGTGTACCGCACGCACGAGAGCGAGCGGGTTGCCTACTCGCTCGGCTCGTAAGGCGCCGTGGACAGGTGCGATAGGAGGCAAAAGAACGCCCGCAATCGTGCGTGCGGTACAGCACAACTACAGAAGTGAGCGGGGTTAATCAGCCACCTGGTATGTAGAGTTCCGCCTGGCCAGGATTAACGCATTTAAAAACACGAACTCATATCACCACAGGCATGACGATGTAAACCAGGTCCATATAGCAGCCCGCGACCCACATAGCGCGGCGCAAGACGGGACACTCTCTCTCTCTCTCGTCCCCGCTCCCCACCCCCT